GAAGAAATCTTTTGCCATGACCTGGATCTACAATCGGGTAGTAACAGAAGCCTGAGTAAGTTTGCATCCGTTAGCCCACTGCCTGTGTGGGAGGCAGCTAGCTGTGTGCTCCGTATAAAGACATTGCCCTTTCTGCTATTACACATTTTTGAGGTTTGAGGAACTACAAGAAAATCCAGGGTGCCTTTCCCTCTCTCCAGGTTGTGGTCTGGCAGGGCTTGTTCGGCTGGCATTGATAGCAGCACATATTGCTTGCGGAACATATGGGGTAGTGAGCGAAGTGCCCTGTCTCCTCCTCTCCCTTAAAAGTTTGTTTAAAAAAATGTTTAAAATACCAGCAAGATCGTTTCTGTTCTGATTGTCCTGGAATACTCTGCACCCAGCAGGAAAACTGCCTGAATTATGAATTACCAAGGAAATCAAATTTGTTTCACTGAAAAGGGTTTCCTTCAGACTCTGAAACTTGCATCGTTTTGTTAACTCAAACACCAAACTTATGTATGGAAGAAAAGCTCTCTTTGTGAGATGGCCCACTTCAGTCCTGCCCCTTGGAGTAGAGGGATTTAAACAACTACCAATCCGTCTGGATCCTTTGCAAGAAGGCTTCAAAACCAAACTAATTATTTTCAAATAGGGAAAATAACCCCAACCAAACATTTGCACAAATTCAGAGTTTCCCTGTAAATCATCAAGAAAAGAGCACACAGGTTTTCCTTTATCTTTAAAAACCACTTTAAAAATCTCATTTGCTCCCACTTGATAGTAGGGAGAGAACTATTGCAGCAGGAAGCTGGGAGAAGTGTTGCTGTTATTGTAGTGGCTAAAATGTTTGCTAGGGTTGGGCAGAGAGTTTTATAAAGACCAACTAAAGCTCTTCCTCCAATTGCTCATTTTAGTTTCTGCTATTCCACTGTCACTAGCTTTCCAGCATGGAGCCCTTTTGAACACCGTGAAAACTTAGCTTAACGTCTGCTTTCCTCCTCATTCACCTGGAACATGAACTTGGTGACCCCTGCACCCAAAGGGATCTTGCCCAGGATTTTTGGGTAACAGCCAAGTTGTTTAGGAAAGGGTAGGTAATGTTAGTTGGGGCTGAGAACCATAGGTGTCTCCCTTACCCAGTAGGCATCCTGCACTATTATTTGGAAGGTAAGAGATGAGTTTTGGGAAGAGAAGGAAAGGGAAATTCTGTCTCATTTTTGCTCACCTTGACCACCTTATATTCACGTTGTTGCCAGTCACTGTACAGTGAAGCTGAGCAGTCCCTCCCTCAGGTACCGTGATACTTGGCAGAAGACCAGTGATCCTCAGCTTTCCTAGACCAGAAGGGAAATCATCGCTAGCAGGAAGACAATACCATGCTGCCTCTGGTAGTAACAGCATTCCCTCATGGGAGAAGTCCAACATATGCTATGATGAGCTACAAGCCCCCCAGCCTTGAAACAGCATGTTTGGAGCCATGATGCTGTTGCTATGTGGAATGTGGCTTTCCTAAGGGCTTTGGCCCAAGCAAGGGCAAGTAAAAGAGGCCTCAGAGCTTTTTCATCCAGCTGGACACAAGGACATCACATGCACAGAAGAACAATCTCCTTAGTTCCTCTTGCTCCTGTATCCATTCCACACCAGTGTCCCAGAAACAAGGCCCTGAGAGTCACTCTTACTGTGCTATTAGTCCCTCTTCCCAGCTGCCTGGAGCATCACCATTCACCAGACACACACAGATTACCATTGGGTAAAACAACTCACTCTTCCCTTGCCCTCAAGCAGCCTGCTAAACATGAGGTGCAAAGCCAGACAAGAAACCCACGCTGCCCAGCCCTCCTTGTTACCCACTTGTGAGCACACAGGTGTGAGTGCACAAACATGTCAGGCATGCTGCCACCCACCCAGTACCTAGAGGTCGGAACAGGACCTGGCGCTGGTCCTGGTCATGTCCATTCGAGGCAATGCAGGTAAAGAAGCCGGTGTCTTCAGAGCTGACTCGACTGATCACCAGGGCCCCGTCTGACTGCTGTCTGTGTCTGGAGAACAAAATCAGAAAGCTCTTCGGCTCGTGCTTGGGTCAGAATGGGCTTCCAGCCACCAGAGCTGAAGCTGAGCCTCACGCACAACTTCATAGTAACACTGAGCAAAGGTTTAGCAGCAGCTCGGCTCAACCAGTGAAGCAACCCTTACTTCCCAAATCCCAGCACTAGTGCTGTAAACTCTGGAAAAGCTCACTGCTAGAGCAGGTTTCTGGGAGCACAGGGTGAGAGGAGCTGGAGGTGAGCAGCACCAGTAGCTGTAGAAGTTCACTGCAGACACCCTGATCTCTCTCTTTGCTGTGAACCTCTGCCCTGGCTCACGGACCAGCTGGGCTTTGGCAAATTTGCTTGCCTTGTGTTCTCTTTCTACTGATCTTGGCTCACTTGTAGACCCTGTATCACAGCTGTTTGCTTGAGGGTTCAATGTCCAGACTTTGATCTGTGAGTGAGACTAAGGCAGTCAAGCAGTACGGTCTGGCCCAAATGGAGGAAGCTGGCCAGCATAAAGCAGGACAGGCCTTAGCTGCACAACCAGCAGCTACGTTCTCTCAGGGGGGAGACAGGGAAAGTAAGGCAAGGAGGAGGCTCTCCTCCATGTGAACTTGCCTGTGGATATGGTGGAGTTGCCTGGGAGCTCACCTGGGAGAGGAGAGGGGCTGCCCGTCTTTCTGCCACTCAATGGTGAGAGCTGGCGATGCTTCCACTGTGCAGGGCAGTCTGACTCTCTCCCCGAGGTTGGCCTCCACTACGGAGGGCTCACTCTTATCCATTCTCAATCTGCAAAGTCCACAAGCACAGCAAGATACAGAAAATTCCTTGTTCAGCATTTGACCTTCAGCACAAGGCTTTTTTAATCACAAGCGTTATTTTTTGCCTCCAATGGGAAAGCACAGTGTCTACACTTCCGTCAGAGCTCTGATACTTGCCATTACCAACATTCACTCACAACCTTCAGAAAAGAGCAGCCTCCATCAAATCCTGCTCCAGTTCAGCACAGCTTGGTGCTGCACTCCTGCCAGCCAGCTTAACCCTTTAGAGACAGCAACCCTGTTTCTTACAGCATCCCTCTGGATAACAGCCTAGGAAGTGTTAACAACACGAGCGCATGGCAAATGGTCAAAGTCCTGAACAAGGTACGAAGCAAGCTTCCCCCAGGGTGCTTATCTGGCACACAAAAATGAGAAGGGTTTTTTGGGGTGTCAAGAGCCCATTGCAATCACCTGTCTGCACACAAGGCCTAGGAGCTGGCCGTCCACTTCAGGCAGCAGAAAGGCAGGGGTCAGGCTCTCACACCACCCACCTCCTCATGCTCTTTGCTTTCTTATAATTACAGCTAAACACCATTTAGAAGGGAACTAAACCATGGTGTTCCCAGAGTCAAATGAAACATCATCTCCCCCACCCCCATTCTCTGACCTGAATTCTTGATCTCAAAAAGCAAAACCAAAGAGCCTTAATTCAATGTCTTAATTCAATGAATCACTTATTTCTGCTTTTAGGTGGAAGCAGCTAAGGACGTTGCTGGGGAGTTCAGCAAGTTGGCTGAGGTTTAGGTTGAAAACTCAAAAGAAGGGAGGGATCAGATCATGGTCCCATTTAATTTGCAGCCCCAACATGCTGCATATAAGGCAAAATTAATTTGTACCCTTTTATTTCTGTGGGGCCTAGAAGGACCAAAAAAAACAAAGAAAGAAGCCACAAAATATGCCATCCAGTGAGTGAGGAGACAGTCTGAGTCAAACCAGTTTGTTCATAAAATATTTAAAATAAATGGGTGGGGGCTGAAGTGACTGGAGCTCTTTTTAATATACATATGCCTATTTTGTGCTGGTTAAGCAGTTCCTATTTGCTATGTTTTTTTCCAGAACAGGTTTCTCTTTCTGCCTACACTAACTTGAACGCTAAGCTTGCTGCCCCTGATATTTCTACTTTTGTTTGAACCTAGCTCCTTTGCTGTCAGCCTCCCTGGGCGTCTTTGCTCAGAAGGTGCTTCTTTCAAGCCACCCTCAGGGAGGACAGAAAACAGCTTGCGACTGGGATCTTCTCCCATTCCTGTTGTCAGCAGTTCAGTACTGCTTGCTTCCTAACCGTGCCCCAGAACAGCTGACCCAGGACCTTTCCAATCTTCAGCTTTTCTACATGAAGAGATGCCATATGGTTCATCAGCTGGGCATGGTGGGCAAACTGTTGCTACATGTGAACTCACCTGTATGCAAATTGCTGATGCGCAGAGGAACTGGCTGCCTGCACAACCTTCCCGCCTCTGGATATTTCTCGATGCTGCTGATTTTCCTTCTGAAGGACCTGACCTCTCTCACCCTCTGCCAGAACAGCGCTCTGGTACTCTATTCAAAATAAAATGCCGTATGTGAATAAAAGGGCACTTCTTACTGCGACCTCTTGCGTAGGGTTTCTATGAGCCTGGGAGAGCTTGCTGAACTGGAGCCAAAGAGCCCTTCAGCCATCTGTTTTCTGGCTGACTAGTGCAGTAAGCCTGCGCTGTCTACTAATGAGAGTCACAGACCTGCAGGCAAGCAATTTTAGACTCCTTCCTCTCCTCTGTCAGTGAACATGTTGCAGCATCCCTTAGGCCACAGTGCCTTCTGCCCCATGTGCCATTGCTGTGACAAAGCACACTTCAGAGATTGAAGGCTACAGGGTGCCTTGCTGGCCCATCTTTTGAGACTAGTCTTTCATATTTTTTTGTTTGTGTTTCTTAAATAAGGCACATTTTTCAGAACAGGGCGTTGTTTGTTACCGAGCAAGACCTGTTTGGGCAAAACACAAAACATAAATGCACCAGCATAGACAGCTGTGGCAGACTGGTCACGTTATAGTGCGAGATGGAGAGCCCAGGAAACTGCAGAACCCCTCTTCTGGAGTCCCCTTTCTGGGGTTAGGAGGCAGACATACTAGCTGTGCTGGAAATGGGGCAAGTTACAGGGCAAGCCACAACTCTGGTTATGGAGTGACACTGAGGGGGAGCAAGTGCTCCAGGGCTCAGGCTTTATCATCAGGCAACACCAAAACCAGCCCTGCTGCCTCTGCACTCCCTCTTGGAACCCCTACAGAGGAGAAGACACACTGCTTTGACTAGCTCTTGGGACACCACTGCCATGGAGTGAAGGCAATGCTGCTAGCACAGTGTGGCAGCAGAGGAATTTTGCTCCTGCAGCTGGATTTATTGCTCCTGTTATCAATAGCCGTTAGTGGAAGATAAGTCACCTATGATCTGTAACTGAATCTGTCGGCGCTCTGTCCTCCTGTCAGAAACGAGGCATGCGTAAGTCCCGGCATCCTCCAGCTTGATGTGGCTGATCACTAAGGAGCTGTCGGACTGGTAGGTGTGCCTGCAACAGGGGCAAGGATTAACTGCCTCTGCTGGGCCACAGACAGCAACTGGCTGAGGCAGAGCAGTCCTTCATGCTGAAATTACATAAACCATCACTGTGCAATGCCCTCCCCTGCTTGGAGAAAAACAAAACCCTGTTGACCACAGAAGGGTCACAGACAGGGGAAATGACTGCAGCAGAAAAGAGGTCAGGAACAGAGGGGAAACTGAGATGGGAAAACAGGGAACTGCTTTCAGTAGCCCTCTCCCATGAGGAGGCAAACCACCCTTCCAGGCAGGAGCTTGAGCCCCAGCAGTCATCTGCAAACAGAAAAACATAACTGGGCTTTTCTTAACTGTGATTTTTGTAACATAAAGTGACTGCCTGGCTCCAAACTGTTTCTGGAAACAGGCTTCTCAGGAAAAACAGGCTTTAAAAGTAGCTTAAAAAAAAAAATTATCTTGGATGGGAATGCCAGAAACTTCCAGCCATAGGAACTCTGATTTTTTTGACTACAAGCTTCACCCTGGACTACGGACTTAGGGCCACCCCAAGATGAATCAAACATTTTTCTGTATGGCTACTGACATGTTAGCTTCCACCAGTGCTTTGTTATGGGACAGCGCCCATAACACCAGCCAACACCTCAATACTATCGCAGACTGTATCTGTTTCTGCTGTGCACAGACAAGGTGGACAGTTGACGCTCTTAGGTCAATACATGGGCTTGTTTATTTATTAATTTGATTTTTTTTTTTTTTTACAGAATGTTAACAGTGTTATCACAAAGAAAGCAGGCAAGCGTATTTGGCGCTCTGCCCAGCAAGAAGCCCATCTGCTCTATAATGAAGGGAGTTGAGCTCACCTGTCAGAGGAGACCGGTCGGCCATCCTTCATCCACTCCACTCTGGAGAAGGGGGACACGCCAGTCTTGCAGACCAGCTGGACATTTTGTCCCATGACTGCTGTCACAAGAGAGGGCTTGGCTTCCTCCAGGGTGGCTCTGAAAGAGAAAGCGATTCCACTGGTGCCTCTGCTGCCCTCTGGGTCCTCTAAGGTAACTCTAGATGAGTCACAACCACAGGGCAAAGCGGGAACGGCTGCCCTTTCAGCTCTGAGCAGATGCACCAGGCAACGTGTGGGGAGCCCTCTCTACATGGCAAAGGCTGCTCTGGACAGCCTGAATGCTACAGTATCTCCAGGAAGAGACAGAGTCCTACAACCCCTCTCTTCTGGAGGAGCTAAGTTCAGCTCAGTAGACAGACAGAGATCCAGTGCAGACACATTAGATCTCGCTCTACGCACTCCTGATTTTCTGGGTGACACTGTCTGGATCCTGACCCAAACTCTGCATGTTAAAGGCCTTCCCTAGAACAACCCACTGCTACTCCATACAATGATGAGATAAAGGCTCTGAAGCCAGAGAGTCAGCTAAATTTGTTGGTCAGAACAAGAAAAACACCTATGGATTCTCATTGACAGTGTAAGAATGCCTCCCAGACAAAGACCCCAAGGATCCTGCAGTCTTTTTGCACACTGTACTTCCAGTGCTGTCAGAGAGCAGGGAGAGTGCAAGGGAAGAAGCAGCAGATAACTCCAGGGCCTGAATAACTTGATTTAACAAAGGGTCATGTGTATAGCAAATCCATTGCATGGTATTCCCAGTTAGCTGGCCCAGCTGGGGCAGCACTTTCACTCCAAAAGAAGCTGCACTGGTGCTCCGCAGTGAGCTGGCAGAACAGGGAAAATAAACAATAAAAAAATCATCACCTGTGCAGAGCCCGTGCTGAGAACGAGTCTGCAGACACCTGGTGCCCAAATCCCTCCGTCATGGAAACACCTGCTCCGAAAGCCTTATGCCACTGCTTGCCTTCATGGGGCAGCACCTGCTGGCTGCCGCTGCTCTGCCTCTCTGTGGGCCCAGGCACTGCTGTTTTCCACAAGTGCAGCTGGCTCAGGCTGTCCAGTCTGCTTTGCTGGGTGTCCCAGTGCTGGGTCTCCAGCACACCAGTCCTTGGCAAAGTCTCTGGCAGCACCTCACTTCCCCAGCTGTCCTGTCTGTGGCTGTCTTGTGAAGCCCCATAGGCTCTTCCTTCTTGGCTGTGACCTGCAGACTGTCTCAGGGGTGGCTGTTGCTGAAGCCAAGCATCCCCAGTACGGGAGTGGGAGCCAGCGTGTTGGCGTTGCAGGGCTCCTGTGCCAGAAGAGTGCTGGTGCTCCAGAGGAGAGACCCACAGAGAGTTGTGGCACGCTCTCACACACTCCTCCTCTGATGAAAAGCTGTTTTTATTGCCGTGACAGCCGCCGTACCAAAACCGGTTGCACTTGCCAACGACAGCCACAAAGTACCAGTGAGTGGTCCAGTTTGTGCAGGGGCCGTGGGCACTGGGTAGCAGGCATATGACAGGATATGCTACCAAAAAGAGAACAGAGGGAGACATGAGTGCAATGGTCTGGGTGCTTCAAGCCACCTACCTAGATGATCTGATGGGCCTTTTGGGCAGGGTACAGGTGGGAAAGTAGGACACCTCAGCTTTGCACCCAGCTCTGCTTTGAAATTGGGCAGCTGCTCACATGTTTCTTTCTGCCCCAAGTGGTGGAAGGAGAACCAACCTCAGAGACATTTCTGAATTGAGATACTAGACGGATGCTTTATGGCTTTTCTCGGGGAGTTGTGCAGGTGCAAGGCTGGCTCTGGGGCTTCCTCTCCTGCAAGGGGCATGTGGCTGCCATTTGCACATTTCCAGCCCACAAACCAAGTGGATCAGACCTAGTTGTGAAGGCTCATGCATTACGGAATACCCTTCCACATACTGATATAAAGAGGAGCACAGCCCAATGTGTCTCCAAAACGAGCCCTGTGCTCCGAGTCACAGGTATCACAGCCGTACACTGACAAATACTGGATGCAGGACTCTGACTGAGGGGTCCCTTGCCGAGCTGTGGTTGAGCAGAGTAGATCCAGAGAGCTTTCCCTAAGGCAGCCCTGCAGGGCTGTCCACCAAGTGATCTCTGTGCTGCAGCGAAAGGGAAAGGCAATGCAGCAGCAATGTGCCTGCAGAGGATACAGGTGGGAACTAAAGGAGCAGAGATGCTTTTGCCCAGCAGCAGCTCTAGTGCCCTCATGGTACAGCAGGCACCGTATTGAACTCTGCTGGCTGAAAGCATCCATGCAGCCCTGAGCTACACCTCCATCCTTAGCTGTAGCTCTCATTCCCCCGCTGTCCATGGGCTGGCTGAAGGCTGAGCACGGACCTGATTCCTCAGAGAGGCCTTACTCCTAAACCCAGGTAACTAATTTGGAGCACTCCAGGCTGCATCAGGGGCAAACAGCTCCCCAGAAGTCCTACAGACTGACGGAGGTCACACAAACACACTTCTGTCCAGCTATCAGTAGAGGACAAGAGTTTCTGCAGTAGCTGACAGAACTGAACCCTCTGGCTGCTTTTCTACACTCCCTCCATGCTTCCCTTGCCCCAAGCACCAGGCAGAATTGCTTTTCAAAGAGATAATTTACTGCATTTTACAGAGAGCAGAGCCTCTAGACAGCAAGCTTCCATATACGCTGCTGGATTCTGTAGGACTCTCCCTATGTTTCCAAACCAAGAAGCCAAAGCATCACTTACGATAGTTGGGCCTATTGAGACATCCTTCCCCTTGAGGACCTGAAGCTGAAGCAACGTTGTCAAAACAGCAGCCGTACCTGGAACTGCGGCACTCGTCTGAGGGGTGCTGCTGGGACAAGACTTGGCTTGCCTTAGAGACAGGAATTGAAAGCCAAAAATTATCATGCATATATGAGGACAGTAGCAAGTGCAAGGCACCGTGTCCAAGCTGTCGGCTGCAGAAGGCCAGCTGTTAGAGGAACCACTCTTTGTTTGCCTTCTAGAGGCTTTCATGCTGGGAAGGGGTGGGAAACTTGGCTGTCAGCCATGGAGCCAGGGCTGCACTTCTCTGCAGGACAGGCATCACCAGCCCAGCAACAGGTCAGTTTTTCCAGCTGGCCCCACAAAGCACCCCAAGCTATGAGAGGAATTACCTCTCTGACTATTTTGATGTCAATTAATCTGCAGAGTTGACAAAGGCAATTAAAGTGGCCATGTTTTCCCCATTTTTTTCTCCTAGAAATCAGATGGCAAGTTTCTGACTGACAGAAATTTGATCACTCAGGATTACTCTATCAGTTCTATGCAGGATGGTCTTCTACTTCTCAGACATCTCCCAACCACCCACTCTGTCCTTTGCTTACAGGTGGATGCCTCAGACTGAGCAGGAGCGAAGTGGGCCAAGGTCTTGATGCCATGCCTGCAGTATTATGCTTCTCCAGCATTACTGGCAGAGATGAAGCGCAACAGAAACCCACAATGTGAGTCATCGAGGTCAAATCTGAATTTTAGTACCTGATAGACTTCTAAAACGTAAGGAGTTTTTGTACTTACTGTTGGAGTGGCCTCAGTGGGCTGATTTCTGCTCATTTGAGCATCACGGTAATATTGTGGGCATCCCATGTTGTTTGGCCCCTGGGCAGCTGATACTCCATCAGGACAGCATCCATACCTACAGGCAGAAAGGCTGCAGCAATACCTGACCTACCTGGCTCAACAGTGACTGGCTGTACATTTCAGTGAGCCCCCAAGAAAAGCAATTCCTCCCTGGTCAGGCCTAGCTACTTCCAGCTACTACCTGTTTCGGTGGCAGGTGCTGAAGGGGCAACCTCTCTTCAAAGGGCCTGAAGCTGGAGTGTGTCCATCTGGACAGCAGCCGTGTGGGCTCCGATGACAGTCCTGAGAGCCAGTCCCTGCAGTGGGGTCCTGAGAAAAGCTGAGCTGATGGGATCCCAATGAGCGTGACTGGGATTCCCAGCGAACAGGCAACAAATTGATGCCACGGTCCTCAGTGGGTGGGATGTGGTGATTCCCAGAGGTACTATGGATCATGGAGCTTCCAGGGAGCATCCTTTCATCACCAGAATCTGGGGAGAGAACTCCGTAAAACATGCAGGTGAGCTTCAAAATCTAGTCAGTTTTCCTCATCTCTGCTCTTGTTTACCTGCCCAAGGCTACAGGGCAGGCTTTTCTGCATTAGGAAATGCACCTGAATGTGTGTCTTCTGGCCCATCCTTCTGGATTTGGTTGTTCTGACGTACTTTGCTCACTGCCCTGACCATTTTTTCTGCTGTCCCATGAGAAACCACCTACCACATTACTGTGGTCACCTCGCGTCACCCTTTCTTATTCTTATGCTCTGCTTTGGGCAGCACTTCTCTCAGACAGCACCTAAGTCATGCTGCCAGAACCAGAACTGTACAGACTCTTCTGCATGGACAGATTCAAATACTGCTCACTATTGGTGTAAAAGAATCTACACTTTGTCCCTGGCTCCATGAATTTCTAGAAGCCGATGAAAAGAGTGAGAGAAATTAAGAAAGGGAGGAACCTTACCCCTACCACACCCTATTTCAAGTCCACCATCATCAAAAACCCAAACTAACAAAATTCTTCCAAACCTGTGGCAGGGCTGTTCGGGTTGTAACGTGTCAGCAAGGACTGGCGAGTGACATCATATCCCATAGTGTCCTGCATACTGGGGACCTCTGAAAAGACAGACATACACAAAATGAGCGCAGTTAGTCTAGCCCTATGTTCTAATAATTGCAAATGCCTCCAGGAGTCAACAGGAGACTAAAGCTGATGAAAATGTTTCCCTTCTCCTGGAACAGCTGCTGAGAAGCAATTGGATTTGATTGGATTGTCAGGACAATGACCTGCAATGGGCAGGCAGACAAAAGTCAGCATTTCAGCTCTGGCACAAAGACTAGACACAGACAGCAAGCAAAATCTTCTGAGCAGTGGTGCCTCCTTTATAGCTGGTCCACAGAGGGATGAGAGTTGGCTATAGTTTTTGGCTACTGAGCCTGCCCAGGTTGCCATCCTTCTTGACTGGGAGACACCGGGACAGACGTATCATAGAATACTGAATTCGAAGTGGATGCACACCGATGTTGTTCCCAAGCCTGTTACACAGATTTTAAACAGTACAGGTAGTGGGACTCTGAAGATGCTACAGCTATGTGCAAAACCATAAACGCACAAGATAGAGATAGGCAGGCAAGAAGCTGAGAACATAAGCTGGCGCAGAGCTGGGAATTTCTACTCCTAAAGAAAAGCATCTTAGGAAAAGCTAGGTGTGCAGCAATACCACTCACGCTGTGGCAGGTAGCAGGGCTGCATGTTGCAGCTACCCAGGGTGGCTGGTTTCTGTGGGTGGATGGCTTTGCATGTCTCAGGGCTGTAGAATTTGGAGTCGCCGTCAGCACAGATGACTTGGCGTGTCCGGATGCCTGAATTGCAGCTCTTCGAACACTTGGGCACAGAGACAAGGCAAGTGAGCAGGCAGCAGAGGCCAAATGCAGAAACTCCACAGATCAGAAGTGCGGAACAGCTGCATGATTAGCTGCAGGCTGAGCACAGCTTCCTCCGTCAAGACAAAGCAAAAAATATTTCAGCTGTATTCATCTGAACAATTAGAAAATCATAATTTAAACCATTTTACCAAATGTTGCACCCAGCCCTGAAGCATTAGGCTCTGAGCCATACTCAGCCTGTAACATGCAGATGAGCTGCTGTTAGCCACAGTGGTGTGGCAGAGAGCTGGAGTCAACTGTTTCAGCCTGGCCTGAAGTCATCTCAGTACCATGGGGATTCACCAGCTGTGAGAGAGTCAGCTTTGAACTATGCATTCAAGAAAAACAGTTTACAACAGGAAAGCAGACTGGGGGCTTTCTTGTAAGCAGCTAACTGGACTTCCTTTCACTGGAAGCTGCGGATGAAGAGGGAGCAACGAGCAGCAGCTCAGGGGAGGGGACAGGATGAGGTATCTGTGTAACCCACCTGCTCATGGCAAGCCCTACAAACATTGGGAGAGTATTTCTTTCTCTCTTATTCAGATGCAGGTAGGAGTTCTGATATCAGAAAGCTAGGGGCCAGGAAAGATCACATTAAGGTACAACTTATTTAGCTGTTACTAAAACTTGGCCCACATCTCATGAAGAACCAGATGTAACACATTTTAACTCAGAAAAAGCTGGTCTGGCTAGCACAGAAGGGGAAAAGTGTGTTTGGAAGTCACCTGATGCATTAGATCTAACCCTATCTCCTCCCGCCAGCACTTTTCCCAGGTTGAACATAGTCTGGGCTCCCTCCACAAAGACAAGACTAATCCAGCTGCAGCACAGTTTATCTGAACAATTACAAAAGCGTACTTTAAACCGTATCACCAAATGCAATGACCAGTCCTGAAACCTGGAACTCTAAGCCATACTCAGCCAGAGAGCTGTTCTCCTATTCACAGCAACGGAGGGAAGAATTGGGAATAAGCAGTAAGAGTGGATAGTTTCAGCTTATTGGCTGCATTTTGTCACTGTCACTGAAACTATAATCCCTCACTCAGAAAGATTTCTTTTTGTAGCAGGCAGCAGATTAACTGGAGCATTACTAGTGCCAGTTACAAGGCAACTGTGAGCCAAGGGACTGGTAATGAAGCAGTACATGCTCCCAGCCTCAGCCAATGTGCAGACTGCACGGATCAAAGCTTGTTTGTGAGGAGCACAGCAAGATAATCAGTTATTTCTGAACCATGAAAGCGCAAGGCTTACCAGGCCCCAGTCTCCAATGTGCCAGCCAATTTCCTGGATGCAGTTCTCCTTAAGGCAGGGCTGGGTGGCCGATGGCTTCGGCTCCATTAGGCAAGCGAAGTCCCCAGCCTGAGATCCCTGCTGCGTTCTGCAGGTGACTGTCCGGGTCTGGACCCCTTCCCCACAGCTGGCTGAGCACTGCAGAAAGGGGCCCAACAATTACAAGGAAGCACCTGGTTTCCACTTGCATTTCCAGGCTGTGCTCAACAACATTAGGGCAGAGTACCATTTTGAGATTGCCTCAAACAACCAACCATCATTAAAATAATCTTCTGGGATGGGAGTTACAGTTGTTTATGCTGTAGAAGAGACAATAAGGCATGATGGATAGGGTCTGGGAGATCTGGAGCTCACTGGATGATTTTGGCCTAGTCATATAATTTCTTTTGATCTCTACCAAAGACGACACAGGGAATTATTTTGGAAAAAAAATCAGTACTGCAGAACATATTGAGAACAATAAATGGCAAGAAATACCTGGAACTTCATGTTATTTACTCCTGATTAAAATCAGCTCAAGGTAAATAATTCAATGGAAGATAAAAAGATTAGGTGCTTGTATTACTCATGTCTTCTGCCTGAAGACCTTGTGCTCCACTTTTATAGTGTGGAGCTGTGACACAACATGTATAATAGTAACTGGTTTGTGACATTTTCAATGCCCTCTTAAATTCACAGTGGTGTTTCCTGTAATCCAGCCTACTTCTCCATGAATTACCATGGTCTCTTACAGAGAGCATTAACTTGGGGACAGTTTGAATTACTTTAGATGAGCTTTCCAGCTGAGTTTCAGCCACTCATTTACTAGACTCACCTTTCAACTCAAGAGTACACAAAACTGTCGCTTTTGAGAACCCCAGAATGAATCACTTAGGAATTGCTTTGTAAGAATGTAACAGAGGAAGAAAAAAAAAAAAAAAAAAAAAGACTTCACAGTCTAGGTTATCATGCCTCAAAGTTGCATTTTATGCTGCGGCACCACTCAGACAAAATACCACCTCAAGAACATAAGTCAAATGTTGCAAGCATACATGTACTACTTTAAAAGAGGAAAATTCATTTGTGCTTTAGGGACTGAGTAGACACTACCTCTACTTTCTAAGCCCTTGTCATGTAAGATGCCTTCTAAACTACTGGCTGGCCGCACTGAGCACATACAATTTGAACCGTTTCCTCTCCTGGAGGTATAAATGCACACAGACATCAAAAATGCACCACACAGCTGTGTTCAGAGAAGCCCCGCACTGACACACAGCAAACAGCAGGTCACCAGTGTTTCAAGAGTATCTTGCTTACCCACAGTTGTGTCTGCAGTACTGCTGTCCAGGGCTAGTAATGCTGAGGCAGCATATATAAACAGCACAGGCAGCAGCCATGAACTCCTGTTTTACAGAGGAGGGAGCGTCACTGCACAGCATCAGCTGATGGACAGCAGCTCTCCTGCCTGCCCCTCTGCCTTCACCAGGCCTGACTCAGAAACCCAGCCAGTGCCAGGTCTGATGGATCTGATAAAAACACAGGAGTGGGGAAAGGACTGGCAGAACAGAGAACACGCAATGAGAGGAGTAGAGGTGCAGGGGCATGCACAGTTTTGAGGACCAGGAATGTCCTGGTCCTCAAATACAGGAGGGCATAGCTGCTAGCTAGCTGGAGAACTTGTTCCTTCAGGCCCCCAGACAAGTCCTATACCTCTGCACACCACCTGTCGAGGGGAACACACCTTTTACAGCCCCAGAAAAGGAGCCTGGCTCTTTATCCCCAAGCTTTGGCAGATCCTCCTTAAGTAGGTGCCAAGAGGCAGTTGCCTGCCAGACACCAACTCACCTCTGACCAGGGCCCTGTGCTCCAGCTCGCACATTGTCTCATGTTGCAAGGCTGATTGCTGCGAGGCTGCTGCGTGAAGGCCATGCACTCAGCATTGTCCACCACCCCTTGGGAGCTCTGACCGTCGAATGCCTCACAGTAAACGGAGCGAGTCTGGGTGCCCCCACCACAGGTAGCTGAGCAGGATCCCCACTCGCCCGTTTTCCACCTGCAGGTCACAGAATCAAGCAAACAAATGTAAGCCCAGCTAAACCACCCAGAGGCACAGGGGAGGTCAGTATCACGTCCCTGTAGTAATCAGACAGGGAAAATGGCCCTTTGCAGAATAGAGTCAGAGGCAAGTTCCCATTTGACCAAGCGCGGCCCAGCTTAATTGGCAATGCAGAGCGTGAGTCCCACTCCAGAGACAAATTGCCAACTACAAAACATTTGTTTCTCTAAAAGTGCAGAGGTCTCCCAGAGGGGGAAGATTTCTCTCCAAGGCTTTTGGTTTCCTGACATCTGCAAAAATGTCATGCCTGGAATGAAACATCAAAGAAAAAGAAAGAAAAAAACAAAGAAAACCATCCAGATCAGCTAAACCAAAAGCAACACACACCACCCTAACCAGACATTACACTCCAGCCGTTATCAGAAACAGTAAAACCAAGCCAATCCCTCACTCTGCCTGCAAACCATTCCAGACACTCTCAGAAGTGCTTGTGAACTTTTCGTTGACAGCCAGTAGAAAGCTGGTTTATTCCTCCCATTGGTCAACTTCTCTGACAGCAGCACGTATAAAAAAATCCAAAACTTTAAATAGATTTTTTTCCCTGCATTTGGTTGCTTAAGCTATGGCAGAAACGATACAACCTTGCTAATGGAAGGGGGAATGTCCACAAAACAATCTGACTGTTTGGATGCTAAAACCCCTGCCCTTGTTTGCTCCTGTGTCTCAGAGCTGCCCAGGTAGCTGGGAACACAGCTTCCATGACCCAGCTTTCATTCCTGACTCCAGTGTGCTGTGCAGTGAAAAGGCACTGGTGGTTAGAAGGGGAGCATCGCAGTGATCTGCTTGTCAGCTACTGCCTTCCCTTGCAGTCAGGTAAGCCCCATGCAGGGAATGATGGCAGTTCATATTTTCTCCCCTAGCCTTCCTGTTGCTTCCCTGGTCTGCCCTCACCACCCCTAAACGGAGTTTCAGCCAGCCAATTCACATTCACATCCTACCAGAAACTCACAGCAGACTCAGCCACATTCTTCTCCTTACGATACCCTTCTTTATTGTGAAAGATGCAAATATCAGCCCAAAACTGAATTGCCTTTGCTATAAAATAACATGTTCCCTTTGGAAAGGGAACAACTACAGCAAGTAGAAGCCACTTAAAGCAGTGTGGTTGCAGGGCTCAAAACAAATTCATTGATCATGATTTTTCAGAACCTCCAGTGGGGATACCCCTCCGCCCCCAAACTATATTCTGCCTCCTGTAATACAAATGTACAGTTTTAAAAGGCTGTATCAGCTGGAGGCCTCACCTACAGCTTCTTTAAAATGTGAGTCAAGACATCTTTTCTGACACTTGTTTTGTTTCCTTTGTAAGACAAGGTCAACCATAAGACTGGGACCCTCATCAGAGGGCAAAGAATTGCAAGTCCTAAGCTGTTAGCAGCTTGTTGGGGGACAACTGGTTTGCTTTTGATCTTTTTTACTTCTCATACATCAGTGTACATTGTAAGTATTTTATTTGCCACATCCTTGTACTCATCACACTTCACAGGCATTTTTGTGCCTGCTATAGGGCCCATGCCAAAGAAAGAATAGCTTTTAAGAAACTCTGAGGCTTTTGCTATGGCATGCTGGCATCCTGGCCAATGTTTCAATCGCCTAATCCGTCATGCTCTCTTTTCCTTTCTGTTCTTTTATTTATCTTGATAAATCAAACAAAAATATTCCAGAACATCCCTTCACCTCTTCACTCTGATTCCAGAGAAAAAACAACAGTTATCATGATAAGCAGCCAAAAGCTATGAAGAAACTATCCCCTTCTCAGCCCCGTAAGACACATTACCAGGAGCACGCACAACCACCTAAGCAAAGCTGCCAGCCAGCACCCTTCACCATCATTTTCATTGGCAAGAATCAAAAGCAAAGCACCACCCACTGCTACCACCAGTGCCAAAGAGGAAAGCGCCCACAGACATCAGTGGGCAACTAGGTGGAGAGCGGAAGAGAGCAGCTGCCTTCCTGTGCTTTCTGTAACCTCTTTCTCCTTATTACCTCTTCATCTGAAAGCGCCGTGCTCCACTGTGACTCCAGGCTTGCGGCAGATAGATGTAAGAAGTCCTTTATACACAGAACAAAGGATTTAAAGAACTTAAACCAAGTAGCTACAGGCTACCATGTATTCAGAATTGCTCACAGGTTTCCAAGTGCCCTCTCACCCACACCTGCACTCTCACAGGTCTCTGCACCCACCAGATAACGGTGAGATACGCAGTTGAGGCTCTGGTTACAGCTCTGGATGCCCATGTAGGAGCCAAGTGAAGCCAACTGTAAGGCTATGCCAGCAAAGGACAAGGTGGAAATGGCTGGGTTAAAGGGGTTTGAAAATGCCAGAGAATGAAAAAATTCATCCCCTTCCTTAGAAGCAAGGACACTGGGAATGTAGAAATGACATAAAATGACACCAGCTCTGACCTCCTACTCTGTTTTTGCAGGTTCCGGTTGAAGAGAACAAAAAACAGAGAATGTTTCCTATCTCCTATACGGGCTAGAAGACTGTTTTCCACAATCATACTCTGGAAAGCAAATTTAATTGGTCTATACAATGAACATAGGACATAATAAGCCCTTCCCTTGTGTGCACAAAAATGCTCATCACAGTGTTATCATCACCATCCTTTGTCTTGGGCTTTCTCTAAGAAGTGCAACACTTCTTTGGAGACAACCATGCTGGATGGCAGGAGAAGCAAGAGGGTAATTATTTTCTTAGTTCTAAAAGCACCTCAGGAAGAAGTCAGGGTCCAGAAGAAGAAAGGAAATCTCACCGTTTTGTGTGGGGACAAATCTGATGGCCACATGTCCGATTACTGTCTGGTTGTGGTTTGTTCCTGCACATATAGTCTGGATAAATTTCATTGTCTATGGTACAAAACACCAAGCGGGATTGGAAACCTAAAGGAGAAGCAGCAAGAGAGTATCCTGATCAACGCAAGCTGCCCAGGACTAGGTTTGCAATACACTGGTGTTGGCAAGACAAGTTTCTAAAGTAGTGTAGAATCCACACCTGTCCCAGCCAACCTGGAAGAAAGTCAGGTGCAGTTCTTGGCCTTTCACTGTAAGTACAAATGATGTCTCCACGCAGTATAGGTGTCCACTGGAAGGGCAAGAGAGACGGAATAGTTCTATGTAACTGAGGGGCATTTTTCTGCTGTTTTACAGATTGATACTCATAAGCAAAGCGCCATATGCATATACTGTTCATCAAGGAACCCTGCATGATGTGTGCAACATGCAGCAGCAGAGCTGGGGGCCTCCTGTAGGCTTTGAAGGTCAGTCTTGTGAAGACAGAGTACGGAAGAAACACTCACAACTTTTTATGATTCCTACAGGATAAGTGTGCCCAGGCAAAGTCAGTATCAGCACCTACAACCGGAATATGGCAAAAGGTATCACAACGGCCATCAGTGCGGAAGACCAGAAGAGGCTGACAGGAACTCTGTATACTAGTCAGCTGGAGAGTATTTTTGTTTGATTGGGGGGTTTTGTTTTGTTTAGGGGGGAGGGGTTTTAGCTTAAAATCCGTAACTTTGGTGATGGAAGAATCTGTAAACTGAACGTGACATGACACCCCAGGAGATCTGACAGTCCCCCTGGAGAGAGGGAAGCTTCCAGGCTATGGTAGAGGGGAGTGATGTGATTCAGCTATGTAGGCCAGGCCAGTTTGGAGAGGACCTCTCAAGTGGTTGAAACGGCCTGAAAAGGACATAAAGAACTGAAGCAAAACAAAACAGAGGCTATCTATGAATATTCTTAACAGATCCTAGTAACAAGTCTGAGGACTAGGACATAGAAAATAAGTTAGGACAAGGCATGGGGCATAGTCCCGTTGTGACTCCATGTGTGACCCTCCCTTGACAAAACCTTAGCTGCCCCCTGCAGATACCTGAGCTGTCTTCCAGCAGAAGACTGCTGGGAAGCAGCTGCAGAGGGCAGCACACAGTCACTCTGTCTTCAGGGAGTGATAAAAACCCCACACCAGCGGCCACAGACCAGGTCCTCTCCCCTTACCTCCTCCACATTCGGAGCTGCACTCGCCCCAGGAACCATAGCTCCAGCTGTAACCCGATGGCTGTCCTTGCACGGGAAGGTAGTACTCGTACTGTACCCCTGGGTTTGGCTCCTGGCTGATGAGCTGTGAAAGCATGGGAGAAAGTCAGGGAAATAAGAGCAGAAGCACTTTTCCCCATCACAGCATTTCCCCACCATGTCTGAGGGTTCAAGCTGACCTGTGTCCCTCCTGTTCAAGGAGCACTTATTCTCTACGCTTATTTTCTGTTTGCCTTTAGGGTACTCTAGAGAGCACTATTTTTCAGAGAAGGGTGCATTCATCCCTCTCTGCATCAGAAGATTCAGCTGCTCCTGTAAAAGTAAGTACCCTTTCCTACAGTGCACTATAACAAGCAGTGCCCTAGAGCCTGTCCTTGCCCCAACACCATTTGGTTCTGGCTCTTACCTCTCTTAAAATCAGAGCCCAAGGGAACAGGCAGGAAGCCAACATCAAGCCTTGTCCTCCTCCTTTCTGGGCAAGAGAACCCAAGCAGAAAATAGTGCTCTTTCTGTAGGAAGGCTGCCTTGGTCTAGCTTGGTGGCCCACAGCCTTGTTAGATTCCTGGAGGCCCCATCACTTCTCCAGTCTTTCCCATGTGGTCCCCACCCATGCACAAAGCGAGGGCTGCTATGCCAAGAGTGAGAGAGCAAGAGTATCAGCAGGGTCAGGCACAGCTGCTTACCTCAATGACGAGGGGTTCTGTGGTGGGACCTCGAGCATGGAGGAGCTCTGGGCCCAGATCACCCTCCGAGCCACGGTCATAGTGCATAACCGTGCTAGCTACCTGCAGCGCTCGGCTGAAGTCGATGGTCCAATGCCCGTTCAGATAGTACTCCCCTCGAACGTTCTTGACAGCTGGACAAACCCACATGCCAGAGAAGAAAAAGCAGTAAATTGACATACCTATAATCAGACTCTTGGCTCCAGATACCACAAGACAGAGCCTGCTCTAGACTTTCAGGATACTGCCAATCTACAGAGCTCTCAGCTCCACCATTTGAACCCCAGCTCTTTTACATCAGTACTGCAACCCCTTTAAGTGTGGCAACCACCTAATATGGCAGCGTCTACCAACACAGCAAAAATTCACACTGTAGAACTCCACAGAGGTGCTCCTGTTTGCACTCAATACTGTGTCACAGGTGTGGCAGATAAAGGGGACCATCATCCTCCAACAGTGCTGTACCCCTGTAAGGCACTCTTGCCAGAAGCTGCTCCATATTCAGGCAGTGGTTCTTACCAGCTTTGCTGCAGACCAAGCACTGTTTTGCTAAACAGCCAAATGCCTCCATCATATTCCAGACCTGTCTCTGCTTTCCCCGCTGTTAGTCACTGAGATATAGCCTATGTCAGCCTTTGTCTCGCTTGCCGTTAAGATGTGGGATTCGTACCCCACTGCCTCTACACCACTATCCTGTTCATCAGGCATTCTATTCAGAAAACGAAGTCTTTGGTGCTGCATTCAGTTTTCTACAAAGGAAAACATCATCAGACTGATTTGTCCAAAGCACTGGGTGATGGAAGAGTCAGAAAGCAGAAGAGTATTTGTTTTTTCCACTGGAATTTGCTCAGCCCTGCCCAGAAAGCTAGGTGAGGACATTTGTCCCTCCATTTTGCCTTCTGCAGCATGACCAGAGTTTGAGGGTGCACATAAAAATACCCAAAAGATATCTATGGGGAAAAGAAGACGATCCCAAACTTTCGGATAGCAGGAGTGGTTAGGGTTTACATTCACCAAGTGAACAGCAGAATTCATAGCCAAATTTTGCTATATCAACTAGACTCCTTGTAAGGTCCACACAGGAAGTCTGAATGCGGTTTGGGTATTTTTATTCCCTACCCAAGACTACCATAGGACAGATGAGGTAAACCTGAAACCCAGAGCTGAGCATCACTAATGCTTCAAGGATACTCAATATTCAGATCCTGATTTTCAGAGGGGTTTTCCCTCTGCCATATCAAGCCCTCAAGGTAAACATCCCAAAGCCCAGTATACCTGAAATACAAATTTTAATGCAACGGTTGGAATCCAAACAGACCGAAAGACAGCTTCTGACATCAGTCTTACCTAGAAAGTTCCTGCTGGGCATAACTTCCTTAATTTGGATGCTTGTGGCTCGCACTGGGGGGATGAAAGTTTTATTGTAACCCTAAAAAAAAAAAAAAAAAAAAAAAAAGGAGATTATTTAATATCTGTCTGTGGATGCCACACAGTCACTCTTCTTTGCCAAAGATGCTCATGGTTTCATTGGTGCCTGAAGAACTGGATGAGCTTTACAATGGTGGCATGAAGCATTTCAGCTGTCACTTTATCTGCATTCTGAATAGCTTCACCCTATGCTATCCACAGGTCAGTCCATGTGTAAGAAGTTCCAATCACACCTCAAAAAAGTAAGCACAGGGGCAATGCAAAATCCATTTCCTACATTTTTAAAACTTTGGAAATTCAACAAGCATCATATTGGAGCTCAACACAGAGAGATTTGGCCACAAGTGTAGTTGTTATCTTGAATTTTTTCAAAATTGAACAAATGCAGAAGTTGCAGTCCCATTTCTAGCCTTGCACTAATCCTGGTGGGGCTGTTAAGGCACTGGACAGTGGGACAGTCTTATGAAGGAGGTATATAGCCACGTTCATGTGCTACTTGTATACTTATATACTGCTGGAGACTGAGCAGGGAAAGACACCAGCAGCATGGCAAGTACTTCAGTCTGTATGGAGGCTAAGGAAGTGATTCCCAGGATAAGGCCATCAATACATTTTCTGATGCTAAAGCAGCTAAAGAGCCACACGCCATACAGACACTTAAAGTGAACATCCAAGCCTGCCTACAGCCATCATGTAGCAGGTGTCCCCACCAGCCCTTTTAGCAGCTTGACTTTAGGTTTAACTCTCTACTTCTCACCCACACAAACCACCCAGGTCATCTATACCTTTGGGGAGGCTGGGCACATCAAAAGTGCCCTTTATGCCATAGCAGGTGCTGCCATCTCCTCCACACTGGAGGCACTTGTCCTCCTTCTTGGCAGATTCCAGCATGTTATCACAGCCAACGGCCTGTCAGAACACAGGAGCATTGATATGGATAAACCATAAAGACAGAGGAAAGGAAGAAAAAATGGCCAAATTCTGGACTGATCTAATGAGAAAGCCTGAATCTAAGGAGTCTGGGAAGTCAGGATAGGGCAGGGAAGGAGTTGTCAGAGAAAATACAGAGTTGGCATCTTCCACTTCACACTCAGAGACAGACAGGTAAATGCTGTCCACATGCTCCTCAGCACCTCGGAAACTGAATAATTCTCCTTTTCTGATGCTATTACGAAAGGCCGAGTAGAACAAAGTCAGGAAACAGCAAGAGTATCAGACCCAATGGAAAAAGCAACAAGATGACTAACCTGACAAACTCCCTCTACACAGATGTCCCGCTTGCCAGGTTCACAAGTAGTCCCATCTACCACTGCTTCCTTGTGCCTGTAGTAGAAGTTTTCTCCCTTGGGAATACAGTTTAACTCACACTTATTCGGCGCTGGTAGGAGGGAAAACCACACATTATATAATTTGGCTAATAGCTTGATAATGCATCAGGAGCCTGGTTTTAGATCGCAGGAGCAGAAACAGAGGGGTGGTCTGATTAAGTGGCAGACATTGAACAAATTTCTGGGTCACAAACTGCTGGGGGCTGGAAAAATACCCTGGTAAAGCCTTGCTGTATGCAACCATTTCCTCAGGCACCTTGACTGGCCAGTGTGGAGGGGGGATGCTGATCCAGCTACATATTTGGTTATTCCTTAGTAGGAGTGCTTTTGTCCTCCCTTGGAATACAAGGCTTTCTAGAAAGAACAAATGCTGGTACAGAACACAAGGGAGCTGTTATCTCAACATCTAACAAACAAAGCTTTAAATCCATCTTGAAATCCCTTGTAATTTGTTAAACAGCTCTGAATGATAACATATCAAAGCTCAGAGCAAGAACCTCTCGTTCCTGCACCTGCCTTCTGAGTTAGTTCCTCAAGGAAGCATAGACCAATTGAAAGAGATGTCATATTTTCTGAAGCACTCAATTATATGCTTTAGTTTCTCCTGTGTCCTGCTAATATTCTTTTGCCAATATTGAAAAATACGGCAGAGCTTCTGCTTCTCTAATACTTTAGGACCTAGCTGCAACCAGTTTCAGCTTTGAGCAATGTTTCTGAAAGTATGGCTGTTACAAGAGACAACTATGTATTGCTGCAATGGGAGCTGTGTCTTGGCCCATGCATCCACTGTCTTCATGAGACCAGTGCTTTGCTGCAGGCAAAAAGATTTTTCCATGCCATCCCCTGCCCTCCACCCAACCAAGCAAGTACCCTACAAGGATACTACAGTCAAAAACATTACAGACACTTCAGAACATGCTGTTGATAGTCGGGGCTGAAGCATAACCCTACATCGTTACCTCCATAATACGGAAGCCACTTGTATTTCTTTCCTTGGAAATCTGTCCCATCAAACTCTGCACATTGCTCTGCCCGGAAATCCCGGGAGCCTTCCGGGCAGTTCTGTTCAGAGGAGAAAATGTTTGTATTGGGGCCATTATAAAAAGGAGGATAATTAAGTGTACAACAAAAGATTGTTTTTTATTTGTTATTGCTCCCATATAAAATCAGAGGCATAAATTCAATATGCTTTTGAAGGGGTACTGTTGATGAACCACATTCACCAGTGATGCCAGAGAAAAAGAAACTAATAATGAGATATTACTTCTGAACAAGAATGATGTCTGTCTGGGGAAAAGGAGCAACTGGCAGTGAAAAACAAAAAAACAGAGTATAAACAGAGCACTGTACCTGAATATTGCATGACCGATAGCTTCGAGTTGGTCCGACACAACCGGAAGGACCTTCTGTCCTGAAAGGCAGAAAACCAACATGAAGCGCTCTGAGGAATACACACGTGAAAAATAATCTCATGGCAGACATTACAAATCACCTTCACATCGAGCATAGCACCCTCACACAGTTTCCTGAAACAGCAAAATAACTAAAATGCACTTCTCTTCCAGTAAAGCAAACTAGCATCTTCTAGTGCCATTTTCTGCTATGGTTTGCATTCTGGCATGAGTGAGACATATGCCATCAACAACTGCAGTGTAGCTCTTCAGGGTCATGTTTCAACCAGCTTTTAGTCCTTTGTCCACCAGCAAACAGTTGACTTGTTCATACCAGAACCAGAAACAAATTATGAGCAGCAGGAGGGTAGTGGCCAATTCAGAACAGGTGTTCAGATCATCTGTTGCGCTGTTTATGGGCACGCTATGCCCATTAGGAGGAAGAGCTAAACATGGCTATGGGAAGTGTGCACCACCCTCGTTCCAGTCAAATGACTCCAGCTGAGAACTATGGAGAGTAACAGTTATGAAGGAAATTGCTCTGAAAAGCCAACCAATGCCTAATATCTCAGCATTCCTAAAATGGAGAGGCAGGCCTCTAGGGATTCTGGCAGGTGTGTACCATAATGGGCAGCCTTCAAGAGAGACCTTTCTTTATTCTGGATAGGAAGAATCAGTGCTCCATAACTCTGGGTTCTTCTATTAAAAAACCTTTCTCATTTCTCTAATCATAAAGAAGCTGGGGGTTTTTTTCAGCATATTACTGAGAGTCAGGCTTTTGGTTTGTGCGGTGTGTGTCCCCCCTTTTTTTTTTTGTTTTTATCTACAAGAGAATCTCCTAAGGTCCATCATTCCCAACAGGTGCAGTCCCAGTCATTGTTCTCACTGCATCTAACCCAGCTGCAAATGAGACAGCGCAGGGTTAATGCTGCTTGAGCCAACTCCACTCTTCCATTTCTTCTGTGGCAATTTGCCTTCCTGGGAATCATAAGCCTGAGAAAATCTTGGCACAATCACCAGCTGTCAGGAGAGAAATATGCTGCTCTGGACTGTTCACCCTCTCCCCCAGGCTTGCCACACTAGACCTGATTAAAGAGCTGCTGCCATACCAATCACCTGACTGCACAGCCTCAGATCTCACAGAGAAACTGCCGTGCTCTAGCAAAGGAGGCCAAGTGTTGAAGAGAGCACTATTCAAAACAGCAGAGACAAGACTGAAGCTGAGGATCGTCTCAAAGTGGACTCAAGTGACTTATTCTCCTGGAATCCAACACCAGGGCATTTTTGTTCTGGGTGTATATTAGAGCATACGTGCAGGAGCTCAGTAACAGATAAAATACATTTAAAGAAAGAAAAAGGAGGTTAGCCCTCACCTTTGGGAACAGCAGCGCCGTTGCCGAAAACTGACTCCACCACCACAGCTCCGACTGCACTTGCCCCATTCACCCCAGCTCCCCCAGACATCAATCTGTCGTTTCATTCGGTGGCCCTGTAAATAAAACACCCCACAGACTTATCAGACAGACATGGTAATGCAGGAAAAGAACAATGAAAATGAAGCAGAGCTTGTATGTGTTCTCCCACAAAAGAGACTGTCTTGCTGGGCTGTGTTCCTAGTATGAAAAGTGGCAGAGAATAATACATCAGAAATGTCAAGTCTCTAAAATCTAGGAGTATTAACTTCCTGAAGTCATAGAGCACATCCAGTTTTATAATCTCTGTTAAATTGTTATAGTTTGTCCCTTCATAGAATCTCAGCACTTTTGAATAACCATCTGAAAGAGGGTAACATCTCCCTCTCAGCAAGGCAGCAAAGGCAAATCATTACTTAAGGGACTGTGAGCACTGTCACTCCACACCAGATCAATAGAGCCATTTAATCCCAAATCCTTGTTTCCAAGCCAGATACTTAAGAGAAGAAAGCGAAGCAGTAAGGAAACACCTGGAACTCACTTTTTACTGCAACAAAATTCCATATTGAACCTTTTTTCCCCGCTACTCAACTGTGTCGAATGACAAGGTCAAGGTCTGGGCCATCATTAGTTACAGCCTTAATTAATTTTGTGTTCAGAAAGTCTGAATGGATACTGACATTAAAAGAAATAAGCATGATAATGCAGACAAGAAGTTACAAGTGCAATGGAAGCAACAAAATTAAGTTGTCTTAGAAGTACACGAAATACCATATTTTCAGGAAAAAAGGGCCTACTGCAGCTGATGGGATACACATAGAGCAGGATACAGGGGTTTAGCAGGAAGAATAGCGATATCCTGAGAAAAAAAGAATAATTGCAAGATGCAACAGGATTAATTCCACTTGGGAAAAGTGGTAAATGCAGGGTTACAGAGGGAGAGACACTGTAAAAACAGGGTTTGAGGTGCAGCTGCACCTGCAGGCTAGTTTATGTACATATTATACAACTGAGAAGGTAATGTATACCATTTGAGCACTTAGACATTTGGGGTAGTGAAGAGTGGGCAGGCAGGGAAACAAAAGGTAAAAAATTATTGAGATGTAGTCTAATTCCCTTCCACACATGTAGTATCCCACCAAATCTACATAGCCCCTGGGTCTGGGCCCCAATCCATCCTCTAGTTTCACACTGCCCCATATGACTTGAACACAGCACCCCACATTCCCATCCTCTATGTTTCCCTGCTCATGCTCTGTTTCCATTCCTTCCTGTTGTCCCCCCTGTATTGTCACATAAGCTACTGCCTGATGATCACCCAGCCAGTAAGTGCCATTGTAAGGGTTTTCCACTAGAGTGGAAGAACATCCTAGAAATGGAGAATTTCACCATGGCAGGGATATTAACCCTACTCAGCAAGCACTTTCTACCCACCCAGGTCACTTTCTAAGGCCTACAGAGAAGGCACAAGATCCTCACTTTAAGAGCATCGTTTTCACTTCAGTTAACTGATAACTGCTTTTACATAAGACATTCAGGTCTCTGTTAGAAATAGAAGCTAGCCTAACAAATTTTCCAGTGAATCCAACTCAGGCAAGATGCATGGGTTAATCCTCCCTTGTAATTTAAACAGTTTTTGTAATTTGCTACATATGTTCCCTGGCTGACTGTATGTCCCCGACTTACAGTCTTGTTTCTCTATTTCACCCTCTTTTAAGGAATAATTCCCTGCTGCTGGCAGAGCAACAGTCGGAGATATTAGCCCATCGTATTTATCTGCTTACTGCTAAATTACTCACAACTATCTAACTGCAGAGTCATCCCAAATTCTTCCTGCCTATTACCTACATGGCTCCAATGTGAAACACTTTCTTCCTAGCCCGTACTAGTTGATTTCATTCACACAAGTTCTGTGCAATTCTAATACCTCTGCAAGCAAAACCCTTCAGGACAAGTTTTCTGGTTTGGACTAACTCTGTTTGCCTTCTCCCTGCTTACTCAATGGCACTATCCAGGTTACAGCCAGTTCTTCATACCTTCTCTCTGCCAAGTCAACATCTCCCTGACCCCTTGCCAAACCCTTCCCCCATTCTTCCATTCCAGATTGCGAGCTCAGTGTTGGTCTTCTGTGTTCTCATTTGCCTTTCTGGGAGTAATCCCATCAATAGAATTTTCACTTTCAGCAAGGCATCTTATTTTCCCAAGTTTTTCTTACTTCCTCCCTTACTCTCAAAAGAAAGAAATATGCTACTGCTCTGTTTCTCTGCAGCCTTATTTCTCTATATCAGCTGACTGATTTAGGATCGGTATTAGTTCACCCTGGAAACAAGGGACCTTTCAGTCAGCATAAGGAAGAAAACAACATGTAGATAAAAATCTGAAGGAAGAGCATTTGAAAGTCAGATTACTGGAAGGCAATTAGGGTAGAAAGCCCTTTCCTGACAGACGCCAACCTGATAAATATTCCAATATCCCTCCTACAGAAGTAACATTCTTTATTCCTTCTATAGAGAGTAAAATCTGCAGGGACTCTTTGTTGTAAGGCTTATGCATCTGCAGAGTGCATTTCGCAGTATCACTCCATATATGTACACCCCAAAAGAAGTATCAGTCAGAAGAATGCTCCCAAAGCTGTATAGTGTTAGAGAAACATTTTAATAGGGGCCCAAATCCCTCATTCAGAAATCTGTGCACAGTCCTTATTACTTCAGTAACTGCGTGCATGTGTTACAGCCAAATATAAACTGCGTATTTATAATAAATAAGAAATCTACTATTATATAATTTGATAGCAAGAAGTTTTTAGATGCTGTCAGCTAGTTTCTGTTCCAAAAGCCTCTTTCTGCTCTCTTCAGACTCTGGAATGCTTTTATCTGTTGTCAGCCAGGACAAGTAAATACCAGTCCCTCCTAGACCCCAGAACTAAAAATCTACAAACTTCATCACTGTTACCAATTCATTTGGTCCCATTCCTCCCTCACTTCAGCCTGACATTCATACAAGAATGCAGTATCTATTTTAATGTTTCAGGAAAAGCAAGAAAAACCATAAAACCATCTTACCTGACTTCTAAAAACTCCAGAAAGGAGTCAGTAACTGCTCTGTCTAGATTTATGGCCTGTTCAGCCAACAGAAATGCATACCTTCTGGGGATATCGATGATGACCCTGGCACCACGTGCTTTCAGTGCTCACTGGTAAACAGGCTGCTGTGGTATAAAAGTTTAGAAGGCCAGTGATTTCATTTTTACGAACACTGCATTGCTTTTATCAGTTCCTGGATAGATGTATTGCTGATGTAGTTGCAGCACCTGCTGTTATCAGGCCAACTGTATCTAATATAACCACCAAGTAAAAAAGCTGTGCCTCTGAGTCACTAGAGCCCCAGACTTCGCCTTTAAAGAATATTCTAGTATGCATCAGACACAAACAAAAGAATTCTGGAAAAGGGTCCTAGATAACATAATATATACCATGTAATATTTATTTTTATATATAAAAATGCACTGGGAGTTATGAACTGGACTCAACTCAGAAAGGTAGAAAACATTGGCAGTATGCAGGAACACTTTAAAAAGGGCCCTTAAAAGATTCCTCAGTTGGACTGATGAGACAGATAGGAAACAATGCATGGGAAGAGGACTGTGCTTCCCATATGGACGCATTGCAGGCATGCAGTGATCCACAAAAATCACAAAACCAGATGTGGACCAGTGATTCAACATGAATAATTTCCTAGTGCCTTGTTGCAACTCCAATACTAGCAAGCTATCAAAGCAAACATCAATTTACTGTACAGTCCAAACTGAGCGGTGAAGGTCTGCAGTCAAAGGTCCAAACAACCTAAATCCCAGCAAAGTTCTTATCCCTAGCATTTCCCTTACTCCTTAGGGACCTTTGAGGGCCTAGAGGTAGTCAACCTGAATTATCCTGTGATTCTTTGTGCTGCCTTTCCAGACTGAGAAGCAGCAACAAAACATCATGTTACACTACTCCAGCAGTCACTGCTCAAAGCACATGGTTACTGATATACACACTATGCCTCAGAGGTTTTGGACAAGGCTAGTGCTTGCTTTTAGCCCAGCAGGTCGCATAGCTTTGGTCCACTGAGCTGCAACTGAAGCATCTTTCTGGACACTGAAAAGTTGTTGCTGTGACTTCTTGAGCTGGATCACACAGTTACTAGGCTCCATTCAGATCTGACACAAATGTCAGTGCCAACACCGAGAACATGGTGGAAAATCCTTGCCATTGGAAGTTGACTACAAGGCCCTGTACAATTGTTACCCACTGAAAACAGATATTGCTGTCAATGATAAAGTGAGTAATGTGATGTTACTGTTATTTTATGCAGTGTTTCCGTGGCTTAAAATCAGTCATCTTACAGTCAAAATCAGACTCTCTCTCTTTAATCTTTCTTAGTATTTCTGAAATAACACTATATCCTTTTATTTGATAAATATCTACTTTCTGGGGTTTCTAGTTTCTGAAATAAGGTTAATATTTATTTTGACACTCCCCTGAACTGCAGCCCCATTGATGAAATGTGTGAAAGAAGGGTGAAAACCAAACACTTTACAAAAGAAAGTCATCACCAGAGTAATTTATTCTGTAATGGTTTCATTGCCAAATTCTTGGCAAGTAAGAAGTCTCCAGTGAAAAATGCAGCTTTGCTAAGTTTGAATAATAATTGCTTAGAGAAAAGTTAATAAGGCAAGGGGAGAAAAAAAGAAAACTGTCAAGGAGCCCCGAGAGCTGGTGCTGCCTTTGGGCTGGGGCCAGTAGCAGGGGGCTCTGGCAGGGCAAGCCAGGGAGCAGCACAAGCCAGGGCACAGCCCCAGCCCTGGGAATTGGGCATCCCCAGCCCTGGGAATTGGGCATCTCCAGCCGAAGCCAGGCTGGGACACAGGACTGCAGGTGGGCCTGGCTCGTCGGGACCCACAGCTGGGACAGGTAAGGCTGTGCAGACCCTCGCTGCACCATCGCTGGGGCAGGAGTGGTTAGCCCCGGGGGGCTGCAGTTGGGTCCTGGGCTGTGGGCAGGGTGAGGGGAGCCCAGCCAGGGTCAGTAAATCCTAG